AGGTTTAGAAGAGTTGAGCTAATCCACTTATTTATCCACTTATTCTGAAGTTTACACAGGTTTGTTTTAAATATAGTCCTTCGAGCGACCTTACTCTGAACCTTCAGAGCTTCAGCACGTCGACGGGTGACTCATGGCGGCATCATCCATGTTTTCAGTGGACGAGGAGAAAACTGTTTCGTTTCCATAGAATAAGCTACAGTGGTCGTGACATCACACACGGTCCTCTGTGTGGTGCTGTCATTAACAGCTGAGCGGTGTCTTGCATTGTTTAGCAGTTAAAGCAGGCGTGGAGGCAGAAATCGCAGCTTCAGTTTGATAAAATAACAGGTTTGGTGGAAGCAGTCAAGAGTGCTGAACACGACTCGGAGACAGAAACTACTCCAGTGTTTTTCCAGGACGATCATCTCAGACTGGACAGTTCGAGCTGCTTCTCACGGCCGGATGTCTGAGCGCTGAGCTTCCTGCGACCTTCCTCTGTGTTTGTCCCAGCTGGGCTAATCATGTGTCTCTCCTCTCAGACCGGCTTCATGATGCAGAGATCGGAGCTCTGTGGGGACCACGCCATCTGCTGCTAGTTTTTGCATCTTTGTTTTGGTCTTCCTCTGATCAGAATTGTGTGTCCTGCCATCCTCAGCCTGTGTGTGACAGTGAGAGAAAAGCTGACGCCTCCACAGCCGGTTCCTCCATAAAGAGCCAGCAGTCGGGTTAGGTCAGCATCAGACTCCATGTCTGTGCAGATCCGACTGCTGCCGACGCAGCCTCGACCTCATTTCCATTTGGACTTCCTGCTGGATCTGAGAAACATCAGCTCACAGTCAGGCTTCCTGCAGCCTCACAGACCTACACGGGTTTTGTAACAGCAGCTCAGCTGTAATTCAGCCAGTCTGACAGGATGAAGGTGTGATGGAGGCACCTGCACCGACATCAGGGGGACTGCTGTAGTTTGAAACATGAATCTGACGATGCTGCTGAGAGCTGCATCAGAGACATTTCAAATGAGACTGAGGTTTTTGAAGAATGTGATGGCACTCAGCAGCTGGAAGTCGTGGTGTGGATGGTTTAGACCAGGCCGTGTTGACACCAGAGTTTTGGTGCTGTTATGAAGTTGAAATGAGTCGCTGTGCCTCAGACTTGTTCAGATTCACACTCTACATCTGTGGGTGTCGTCTGCGTGCCGCTGCCGCCTCTGTGCCAGCTGTCGTCGTCCTTCTTGAATTCACCAAACGCTGGCCGGCTGGCGCCTCTCAGCCTGATGAACGGAGGTGTTGCCCTTCGCGCTGGTTGCTGGCTCTGCGCCGGTCAGCAGAGGGATCGGGAGGACGGAGGCGTTAAAGGTTCAGCCCCTCAGCGATGATGGGAGGTCTGCAGTTTGAGGCGCTGCTCGTCCAACAGCTCAGCCTCTGACCTGCCGGCTGATCCGGCCCACAGCCAATCAGGCGTGGGATAATCCCGTTCAGCCGCAGCTTAGCATCTCTTTGAAGTTGCTGCTGAAAGTTTCCGAGGTTCTTAGAGCGCCGTCAGGGTTTCACTAATCTGCCTCACGGCAAAACCTCTGACTGCAGCAAAGCGGGATCAGTGTTTGAGACCCTGATCGAGAAAAAGCCAAAACACTGGAGCCAACACCCGGCTCTGAAATCATCCCGAGATCCTGTCAGCACGTTATAAATGTACTC